TGGTGGGGGGTGCGGCCCGTCGGGGTCCGGCGTGAGCCTGGGCGACCTGGAGAAAGGCGCGGAGGCCGTGGAGTTCTTCGAGCTGCTGGGGCCCGACTACGGCGCGGGCACCGAGGCCGGCCTCTTGCTCGCCGCTGAGCCCCTCGACGTGTTCCCCACCGGAGCTGCGGTCTTGCGGGGACCCCCAGAGCTGGAGCCGAGCCTCTTTGAGCCGTCGCCGGCGATGGTGGGGAACCTGCTGTACCCCGAACCCTGGAGCGTCCCCGGCTGCCCCCTGACCAAGAAGCCGCCCCTGACTGCCTCCCGCAGCGGCTTGACCTTGAACGAGCCCTTGCGTCCCTTGTATCCCGCCGCTGCGGACTCTCCCGGCGGGGAGGACGGGCCCGGCCATTTGGCCTCTTTCGTCCCCTTCTTCCCAGACTGTGCGCTGCCCCCGCCGCCGCCGCCACCCCATCAGGTGTCCTACGATTACAACGCCCCGCTCGGCCTCCTCCAGCCTTTGGAGGTCCGACGGGGTTTGGGAAGGAGCGCCCGGGGAAGAGGGGGCGCAGCGGGACTGACTGAGAGGTCCCCTTCCTTCCCAGTAGTGACTGCCACTGGGAGCGCCCCCAACCCCCACTCTCCCAAGCCTAAAGAACGATGGAAAAATGCAAGTAGGAGATGAAACGGGATTTTAAAAAATACCCAATTAATAAATGAAACTTAAGGGGAAAAAAAGACGAAGAAGAGTCGGGAATTGTCTTATTCGCAGCCTTAAGTGTATTTTGTTTGTTTTTTATTTTAAAGTCGTCCATAGGTTCTTACTAGACCAGATGAGTCAAAAAACCAAGGCTGGGTTTGGGGACTAATGGGGTGGGAATGGCATACGGGGTAAGAGGTGGCTTGTGCGGCCAACCTGGCCCTTCAACTTTTCAGCAAAGGTCAGTGTGTTTGTACCCTGTCTAAACTGTTTCTGGTCCCTCCCGGTTTCCGCCCCATGAGTGCATTATGAATTAAAGCCTACATTGCAAAGAATGGAGCAGGATATGTGGTTATTGATTGGATGTTTTCTTAGAGGAGGGTTTCAGGGTGGTCCCAGCCTTGCTGAGAGAGTGTAGCTGAGGGGGGAGGCCAGGCAGGCCACGGCTGGGCGCCTCTGTGCTGGTCCTTTGGGGCCACCCTTGTCTCCATCATTCTTGCTCCTATGCTATTTTTCTGTTCTCTTCCTTCTTTCATCTTCTCTCTCTTTACCAGTGCAAGCCACCACTGTCTAGCACTTGAACTGTGTTTGCCCATGTGGAAGTGTCCAGTGCCTTAACCACCATGACACCTACTGGTCCTCTATCTGTTATTTCTGACTTTCCTTCTCCTCCTTTCTCTGGCCTCCTATTGCTCTCTTTAATATTTCATCCTGTACCACCTTTCTTGCAAATGTCTGGTGTAGGAGGGAAATTTGGGAAATTTGGATGGGGGGTCCATTCCTCTCCTTTCCTTTCCCCATTTTTTTAAACCACTTAGGCAGGGTGAGACAGGATGAGTTGTAACATCTTTGCATCTCAGTTTCCTTATCTGAGAGGGAAACATCTTCCTCCACTTCTCCCTTCCTCACAGCTTGTTGGGTAGCCCTGAAGGGAGTTAGTAAAATGCCTTGAGGCTGCTGTGGTGCAGGACTGGTTCTGCAGGCAGGTGTGTCTTATGCGAGCATGTCTGTACAGCGAAGGCATGCAGAACATGAGCCGTGTTCTGAATGCCCTGTAGTCACTCCTTCTGACAAGCCCCTCTTCACTGTCTCTCCTGTTCCACCCCATTCCTTTCGTTGGTTTCTGCCTCTCTCTGTTTCCTTATTCCCCTCCCCACACTCTCCCTTGGAAGGGAATTGAGAAGGGTGTGTCCTTTCCAAAGGAGTCTCTCTATTCCCTGAGTAGCAGGTTTGATGAATGGAATCTGGAAGGGCCTTGAAGAAAATAATCTGATCTATTGTTTGAGAGTAATTTGGGACTGGGAAAGTAAGAGAGAGATTTTAACCAGCTATTAAGGTGGGCAGAAATGGCCTATGGCACCATCAGGATTACCGAGGGACAGAGGAAGAAAAAGGAGGAGAAAGGAGCTTTCGGTATAAACCTACTGGTGAAAAATTGAACAGATACTGACATCAGAAAATGTGAGGGAGGGACCAGCAGTTGGTGTAATGGTTATGTCACTGGACTCCCATGTTGTTGACTGCGGTTCAAGTCCTGAACCTGGTGGCTCAAACTCGCGCCGGGCGCATGTGTGTGCATACCCAAGATCCTGGGAGGAGAATAGAGAAGAAAGGATTGCGGCATGGCCATGCCCCCTGGGGGGGTGATTTCTCACTTTCTGTTTCTCTTTCTCTCTCTGTCTTTCTGGCAAGCACATGAGCCCTATAGCCAAAACCTCTCCACCAAAAAATAAATTAAAAAAAAAATAGAAGAAGAAGAAGAAAGAAAGAAAGAAAGAAAGAAAAAAATGTGAGGGAGATGTTGCCTACTGGTTGATTATATTGGAAAAGAGCTGCCTCTGCTCAAGATGGCCAAGACAGTGTAAGAATATCCAGGTGTGAGGAGGTCAAAACCCCAGTGTTGCTGCAGTGGACTTTAAATTCCAGGTCAATGTTGGCTCAAATCAAAAGTACTAGGATAGTTTCAGGAATGGATTTGGGAAAATAAATAAATAAAACAACCAAATGGGTATCAAGTAATAGTAGACACAGCCTTATAAGGTATCACTAAATCACTTTCTGGTGGTGGTTGGGGGGACTTTTAAAAAAGCACCACAGGGGGCCAGCAGTTAGTGTAATGGCTATGTCGCTGGACTCCCACGTAGTTGACCGCGGTTCAGGTCCTGGATCTGGGAGCTTAAGACTCACGCTGGGCACGTGTGCGTGTGTGCCCAAGATCCCAAGGGGAGAACGGAGGAGAAGGGGTTGCAGTGTGGCCATCCCCCCTGGGGGGTGATTTCTCACTTTCTGTCTCTCTGTCTCTGTCCGGTGAGCGCACACGCCCTATAGCAAAGACCTCTCCAAAAAAAAAAAAAACCAAAAAACACCACAGGAAATAGAGCACTAAGTCCTGTGATTATTGAAAGGAACTTTTGAAACTACAGAAATTCGGTGTTTGTTGAGTTTCTTTCAAAGTGATGACAAATGGCTACTTCCTTTGTGCTACTAGAATATTATTCAATAAGCATTTATCTGAATTGTTTTATGATGAATCAAATCCAGGATAGAATTGCATAGTCAAAAAACATTAATAACCTCGTGATGAAAACTAAGACTATAGCATCACTGCTATGTATGTTTCTTAATTTTCTTCTTACCTAGTTCAGTAAACTAAGATCTCTCCCTTCCTGCTTGCCATGCCTTGTGTAAATAATATCTCACCAACACTGTGTGAACTTGCTCCTGCCCTACCCCTGCCCTACCCCTGCCTGGAGTGCACTTTCCCTTTCTATGCTTGCTGATTTCTACTAGGCTCCTCTACTAGTGCTCAAGCACCACTCTCTCTCTATTTTTTTTAAGAGATTTTTTGCTATAGGGCACGTGCGCTCACTGGAGAGACAGAGAGACAGAAAGTGAGAAATCCCCCCTCAGAGGGGATGGTCATGCCACAATCCTTTCTCCTCCATTTTCCTCTCAGAATCGGGCACACATGCACTTGGAGTAAGTTTTAAGCCACTGGGTCTGAGATTCGAACCATGGTTGACTATGGGGGAGTCCAATGACGTAACCATTATGGCATCTGCTGGTGCCACCACTGTCTTTCTTAACCTCCCTAGATTAATTAAACAGCTTTACTCTGGAATCTTCTATGATACTCCAAGAACCCCAGGCTCATCTTTTTGTAGGAATTAATCACACAGTTGTAATAGCGTTATTGCTCTGCCTTCTTTATTGGAGGCAGGTGCTCACCTCTGCCTTCCTATGCTTTCTGAAATCTGACAAGAGTAATGTATAACCAGTGATTACTGGGTGAATTTTATGAGATTTTAGAATTGAAAAGAGACTTCATATTCATTTTCTCATTGAGCTTCACCCCAAATCAGTTAAATGGCTATATAATCATATGCTACTACGATTTAAGGACCTATTATTCAAAATGAGCCCTTGTTCAGTGGATCACTTTTCTGTGTGTCACGATAATAGCCTTACTAGTAATTTTATCAAACCAAAGGGCCCAGTTATAATATTTTTCCTGAGAAGCATATTTCGTGACTGGCATAGAGGATATTGGTGATATGCTTCAGTCATTTATTCTGCCTGTAGAGTTTGATCAGAACTTTCCTCTGAGAGACCAACTAGAAGCCCTTTCCTTAATGAGTCTAAAGCTGAGTTGAGTAGTTAAGACACAGGTACATGAAGTGTTTAGCTTATCGTCTGTGTGGGAGTGAAGAAACGATCTAAGAGATGTCACAAGGTACTATAGAATCTAATTGCTAAATGAAGCGTATGGGCAGTTTCACTTACATAAGGTAGTGCTCCTAGAAATACATTCCCAATAGAAAGAAATCATATTTATTTTCCCAAAGAATGTGATGGCAGGGAAGGGGCTGGGGGAGTAGGAGAGAGAAGGAGAGAGAATGTATGTGTCTACATGCCTGAGAAAGGGTTCAAGATCCATTTATTACGTACAATGGGATGTTATGGGTTGAATTGTATTCTGCCAAAAAGATTGAGGTCGTTACATCCAGTACCTCTTATTTGAAAGCAGAGTCTTGACAGAGGCAATCAGGTTAAAATGGGGACCAGCAATTAGCGTATGTTGCTGAACTCCTATGTAGCTGACCGTGGTTCGAGTCCTGGACCTGGTGGCTTAAATTCACGCTGGGCGTGTGTGTGTGCATGCCCAAAATCCCAAGAGGAGAATGGAGGAGAAGGGATTGTGGCATGGCCATCTCCCCTGGCGGTTGATTTCTCACTTTCTGTCTCTTTGTCTGTCTTTGTCTTTCTGGCGAGCGCATGTGCCCTAGAGCAAAAACCTCTACAAAAAAAAAAAAAAGTTAAAATGTCACAGGATAGAAGCTCTTCCAATACGATGTGTGTCGTTATTAAAAGGGGAAATCGGACACACAAGGGAAGACAATGGGAAGACACACAGGGAGAAGATGGCCATACAGTGCCACATCTATGAGGCAAAGCATGCCGAGGACTGCTAGCAAATACAAGATTCTAGAAAAGGCATGAAAGGATTCTCCTCTAAAGCTTTGAAAGGGAGCATGGGCCTGCCACCTTCTTGACTTCAGCGTGTCTTCCTCCAGACTGAGGGACAATGCAGTGAGACAATACTTTATTTTTTAATTTAATTTAATTTTATTTTATTTTTGCCACAAGGTGTGTTTGCTTGATGGAGAGAGATAGAGATAGATAGAGAGGAAAAGTGAGAAATCCGTCCAACCTCCCAGGCAGGGATGGCCATGCCACGATCCCTTCCCCTCCATATTCCTCTCGGGATTTTTGGGCATGCACACCCATGTGCCTGGCATGTTCAAACCACTGGGTCAGGGACTTGAACCATGGAGTCATTAATACTATTTATTGTGCCACACAAAGTTTCTTGTGCTTAACAAAACCCTATGCAACCCTACCATATTTATTTTATTTCAGAGAATACTACAGATGTAACAAAACCTCTAGAATCTACTGTAATTTTAGAGGTGGGCTCTTGGCAGTGAAAAATGCTAGAGTGGACTGTGAAGTTTGTTTCTTACCTAGGCTTATGTCATTTTGGGGTGCACCTAGCAAGTCTAAAGCTGACTTCAGCAGTCTAAGGCTGTCCTTGAGCCTCTATAAAGAGCTTCTATTTTGTGCCATTATGTACCAAGTATGAAGATGCAGAGATGAACATAACAGAGCTCCTAACTCCCTGGTGGGACAGATAGACAACCAACACACAATTATAGCACCATGCAATGGGCGGTGGAGCAAGGGTACTAATGGGGTCCTGTGAGAACAAAGAGCAGGTCACAGCTCTGCTGAGATATGTCACAGAAGGCTCCAATGAGCTAAATTATCTTTCTT